GTACTGTTCAATTATTTTGTAGGATATGTATACAAAAATGTACTAGACCCAGTGTTGTTTTATATGATTTTGTTTAGATGCAAAAGAAATCACTATATAGTATATTGCATTATAATTTGTACCACAGATGTAGTTTCTTGTTATTCCATTATGACTTTAAGCTTCCCATTTCTTAACAAGTTTTATGATTCTTTCACAGTAGATTCATTAATTTTTGTTAGTATCTTTGTCGAGCGCATGACGACATCATTGTATTCTACGCTATAAAAAAAAAAAAAAAAAAAAAAGCATTTTTAAATATATATTACACAGTAAATTCATTAATTTTTGTTAGTATCTTTGTCAAGCGCATAAAGATGTCCTTGTATTCTACGCCATTTTGTATAATTATGAATACCCTGTAACTACGAAAGCATAGCAGGCATCATTATAGGCGTCGTCACACAGAGGCAAAAATCCGGATTTTAGTTATCCGGATTTTAGTTATCCTCTTAATTGCTGTCTGTCATCAATTATCCCTTCAAAAATCCACAAACGAAGCAAACAAATTCTCCCTTGAAAGGAATTTCAAGGAATTTTGTTAAGGGATTTTTTGTGTGTGACACCGCCTAATGATTGATTTCATTATTAACGATCATAATCATAATGGAATTGACACATTTCAATGTCATTTGTGTGGTGATGAATCAACATGTGATTGGGAAGGTGTAAAAGTTAAAGGGATAGTTGAGTTCTGTTTTCAGACCGCACAATGCCTTCAAAGTGCATGGTTATTGCTCTTATTCTTATCTATGACATTTATAGTGCCCTTTTACAACCAAAAATTGCTATGAAGGTAATGTTAGACCCCAAAATGTGTGAAATTTAGCCAATACGATCATACCAATTCAGCTCCAGTTTAAAAAAAAACCCGGTGACCATTAATGAATTATTCAATTAAAAATAACAATACACGAGCCGGCTAATTGTGGGTAATATAAGCATCACGAAAAAGCCAACAAAAAAGCCAACATCGGCATTGACTGAAATACGATGTAAAAGGCGTTATTTCGTTTTTTCAACGGTTTTTTCAAAATATCTAATATTTGTGGTGGTACACAAGTATTAGAAATCGTTATATTTCAGCCGTTTCTGAACCGATTTTGATCAAACAAAGATGATTTTTAAGAGAAGGCACTTATGAGAAAGACACAAATGGGAGAGTTATCCGCAACTACGTTACAATCCACTGACCAATTAGTGATCTGAGATTTCAAACATTCATAATTTTCTCATTATTGGTCCGATATATTTCAAACTTTCGCCATCCTGTTTATATTATTTTTCTGCTTTAATTAAAAAAAAAAAAAAATCTGTCATAATCAAGGGTAAAAAAGTTCATTTCATTTTCCTCTCTCAAATCAAAGTAAGTCACATCAGATTTCTACATTCATTGCACAATTCCGAGTATTAATTGGATCCATCTGAGATACCCCTAAGCAAGGGGTTTGCAGTAGAGTCTCGTAGGACCACGCTCTCTTGCCAAATGAACATCGCAACAATTGCATGTTTTTCGGTCATTTCCTGAATTGTTGAGATTGCCGCTTTCATCACTATTCCGAGTACTAAATATTCGGAGATACGTAAGCAAGGATATTGCACGGGGATGACACTTTGCTTTCTTAGGTCTACCCATGCATACTCGAGTCTGCAATTGTTTTCAGCTTTTCACCTCCAAATAATGTTGTTTCGCGCGCCAGAAAATATGAATTGCGATTGCAGACGGTTCGGTGTGCAACCTAAAGATGGAATGTAAACAGCTCCAATCGGGGTAACACATTATGAATTCGTCAAAACTTCAAAATAATGATTGTGAAGATCAAAGTGAATGATTCCTGTACCTGGCCTTCAAAAGATGTCAAGATGCCGGTCACTTGGGTGGTCATTTTGTCATCACCATAGTGCGCCCTCCAAGTTCCTCTTCGATTGACGCCTGTTCAGAGTTTTCACGAACATGCAGGACTTCGCCAAACTGCAGATGGGATCGAGATCGACCGAGACACAATTAATAATTTGAACAGCGCTGATGTATAAATTTCATGTGTCTATACGTGTTGGCGAACTCAGACAGCAGTCGACATGGCTGTCGACTGTCTCTCCAATACGATCGACGAAATAACCCCGTTTCCTGCATAAAACACACAAACGTGGACAGAAACTAGCTGCTGTTTATACGATGATTCAGCCGAATAAATAATAAGTCGGCCGCTCGCGTCCCTTTCAGCCAGGCTTCAATTTAGTAGCAAGTTTGTGATCCAGTCATGTCATCTCTCTCATCCCCCTCTCCCCAAACATTCACGGTGTTTGACTTACGGTAACAAACCGCGCTCTGATCGAGGTTTAGAACGGGCTTTTGATTTGACTCCGCGAGTTGCATATGTTCATATTTTCACCTCTCTGGTATAGATCATTTGTGTGAACACAACCAAAATGTCCCTCGCAACAGGTGTGTGATCACTGA